ATAGTACTTTCCATGTTTTGGGGTTTAATAAAATATTTTACTAAAGTCCTTACCTTGACGTTTCTATGCCCTTTTATTCATTTTAGTTCTAATTTACATTGATATTTCATTAAAATTGATGAAACCCTAACCAAATTATTTAAGGCTGTCAGACATACTTGTTCACACCTTTACTGGGGTGACATTGCATCATTCATCCCCAAGAAGGTGTTATGGAAAGTTATAATCTATGCTCTGATACAGGAAACGACACATCAAAAATTTACCTGAACCAATTACTCACTTCAACATTTAGAAACTAGAATAAACAAATAACTGATGACACCAGTGAATTATGAGGGTGGGGTGGGGCAGACAGTCCAGAGTTTTTATAGGGTTGTCCAATGCAATTTAACAATGTAAATGGCAATGATAAGATGCAATGTTTTTACTGACCCAGGCTTTAATGGCAAAATAGTGGGAAATGCATGTAATGAATTAATGCTTAAACATCAATCAAACAAGAGGATGAAGCTAAGCTCTTTTGTTGGAAAATGTAACACTGAGCACCATCCTCGATCTGTCATAGAGCCTTATATTGCGTCCTGTTATATAATTACAGTTATTAATACTGTAGACATAAAATGGTACATGTATGTCTGGAAATATAATATATAATTTTTATTATTCTTTCAATAACATTACATGATACATGCATTGTTCGGAAACATAAAAGACTGATTAATTAATGGCACACTATTTATTGGTTTCTATAGTTCATTTCTTTTGAATAATGCACATTCAAACAGCCAAGAGCTGTATGTTTAGAATCTGCACAGAAAAAAATGGAAGAGGATGAGCTGCCTCTATATTTACAAATTTTTATTGGTGCCACTAAATGCATTTTATACGACGGTGTATTTGGGCCACAAAAAAAAAAATGGAATTAAAAGTTTTGAGTTTAAAGACATTTTTACGGGAATAAACACACAATTTTACCTATAAAAACACAAATTTATAAAATTAAAACATACAAATATGAGAGAAAAAGTAGCAAATTAGCTAGATTTTAAAATGTACATTTGTTTAACAATGCAAGATTATTATACACATTAAAATATGCTACATAAATCGCATGCAATTAATTAATTGGGGGCTTAAATGATGGAATGAGAAAGTACTATGTTCTCCTCATGTAAGCTTGTAAGTAAAAATGAATGATATTATAAACATGCAAATTTATTAATTTGCATTAATTATTTGTTCAAGGAGACAGAAGCACACATACAAAAACAAGCAGAGATACAAAAAGCAACTGTCTGCAAGCTCCACTGACGGCCCAGTCCAGGAGCTGCCACAAATCCAGGCAGACGAGCTCTGAGTCAGCTCCCTTGTCAAAGGATAAAGAGAGCACATCCAGCCAGTCACAGTCAGAGAAACAGGACCACACTGAAAAACAGGCAGATCTTGAACATCTATAAACTAAATCATAGATCTGATATAAGATGGAGCTTGGCCATTTAAGGCTTTATGTGAGAAGGGCTAAACTAACTCAGGGTCAGGTTGGGAGCAGGTGTGGACAAAGGAACTAGAAGGGAGCTAGGGGAAAAGACTGACACAAGAGGGCAACAGAGGGAACAAGAAATACATAACAACTCAAATACAATCAAATATAACCCGTATAGCAAAAAAATTGAAAGAAAAAAAATGAAAACTGAGTTTCCAACCTCATGCTAGATCAATTCAGATACAAGTATTTAACTCTTGAGTTTGTTAAAACAACTTAGTGAAACAGGCCTCCTGTGTGGGGATTGAATGAGGCAGATTAAGGTCATTTGTTGCCTTTCTGCCAATGCCTTGCTGTGTCTGCTGCATATGCCCAAAAGTATTTTGTTATGTGAGTTTGAAGTGTTTTTTTTTTTCTTTGAATAACAGTCAGGTTATAATGAAGCCGTTCTCTATAACTTTTGGAGAGTGCTTCTCTACCAGCCTGAATAACACACAGTTTGTAATCTGAGCAATCATGTTGCAAATTATATTAGTAGTAGGTTCACGGTATGCATTTTTCTACACAAAGTTTTGTGTAGATCCAGGGCCAGTTGACTAAGATAAAAGTGTAGAGAGCATGCAAAAATGCTGCATGTGAGCTGACTTTGGATCAGATAAACATCAAACCACAACCAAAATATGAATCAAAAATCATCAACACTACTTGCATTGAGATGGGGGTGGGGTGGGGGCATAAGGGGGAATAGCTGTTTTCAGAGGTGTCTTAAGACCCCCATACTCCCACCCCCATCCTGCCTCCGTTGACTGGCATTTTAAAATAGGGTCTTTTAACATGAATCAACTAGTGCAGCAGACCTTAACAGTAGCAAAGGACTGTCATACTGTGTTGTATAAATGTATTAACAGGATTAGCCATCTAACAGATAACTTTGGTGTTCACTTTTTTGAACACCAAAGTCAAATCATTTAACATATATCCAATATAACTCCTGTTTTGTTTTGTTTTTTTCGAATTATAAATAATGGCTCCCATGGTAAAAATAATTGCCCACTGAACCTAATAAAATAGCTGGGGCATCCTTTCAAGCAACAACTACTACATATCTATTGTTTGGAATAACTTGCAGTGACTCTTTTACATCACTGTAGATTAAGCCCCCACTTTTTTTGCACAATTGCTTTAATTTAAACACATTCTGTGGGGTTTTGAGAATTAAAAAGCTTCTTTGAGACATGTCGCAGCAAAGAAATCTAATCTTAGTTAACCTATAGTTCTCCAAAACTGCTAAGTATTTTATATTATAAAAATATTTCTGAAAAGGACTGTAGCAACTCTCTGTGCAACTTTATGAAGGATCTAAAAAATCTTTTAATTATTCTAACAACCTAATTATCAAATTGGAATGCACAAACCTTAATCAGTAATAGACTGTTGATTGTTTATTTTCTATATTTTATTTCAAAAAGTAAAAAACAAAAAAAAGGAAAATTAAAAAATAGAGGACCGCTCTCATAAATGCAGATGAAAGTCAAACATTAAACAAGTGTTGCTGTTAGCCTGTGGAAAACCCTGAGAACAAAAGCATGAGCATCCATCAGGCTGCCACTGAACAGAGCTCCCCCTGGGGAGCAATAGCAAACAGGCCTCTCTTCTTTCCATCTCTGCCGCAGAGCTTACTACAGAATAAGGATAAGCCCTTCTTGCTATTCCACTCTGTATGCAGAGAAAATAATTACATGTCTTTCTTGCTCTAAGAAAATAGCGAGAAAGATTTTGTGAGATTCACTTGCCACCTGATGTTGCTGTGTTAAGAGAGACAAAGTACCGGAACGCAACTCTGACCTTGCTGCCAGTGATCTCTAGAGCTCTGTCATGTTTTTTAGACAGTGAGATACGCTACATTCATGGCACAATGTCGCAGGCTAATTGTAGATTTGGATCTTAAACCTGACCGAATGACACATAGAGCTAGGAATACCAATTAAGCAAGCCAGTGAGGTTTGTGCACAAAGTCAGCATTCACTGAGCAGCTGCTTGAATCTGTGTTTGTTTACACGATGAATAAGTCATGAATGGTGAATTATCTGGGTGGTTACACTACGAAAGCAGTGCAGGGGCTATGGGATAGTGGTAAGGGAATATGGGACCTTTTGACTTCTTATTCCAACAGCTAACGAACAAGTGGTCAATTTTTAACATAAACATACAAGTTTGACACACTTAAGGGACGCATTCTTCGATGAAGTAATATGAACTCAAAAGGAGATATATATTTCTCTTTACATTCTTTTGTTTTTACATTTGTGTTCGAGCTTTGAAATTGCATCATTCAAACCCAAGTACCTGTTATGGAGTGTGCCCTGATATAGGACATGAAACATCATATAACCTAAAAAAAGGACTTAATTCTACATTTGGAAACCAGTCAAATATCTAGAGTAGATATTTGCTCGTATCCAATGGTTGTACCAATGATTTGCATGTCAATTATAAAAATTATATAAATCAGAAAGAAGAAATAAGCAAGCACAAGGCACTAATTCATTAGATGATTTATAGCAGTATCCAGTGCCCATATTCACACAGCACCTAGTGATGTCATTTAAAGACTTTTACGTTTTTTTTTTAAAGATTAAAGTTATTAAAGACACCCCTTAGGCCTTAGTTGACCTCCTAGTGTAAAAACATGTTGGGAATATTCAGGAGGACTTTTAGTGAACATAATAGAAACAAATAAAAAGCTGTTTAGTCAGTTTTCTCCCTAAACAGTGGATAAGGATAACCCGGGGGTCAGCAACCTGAGGCTCCAGAGCTGCATGCGGTTCTTTAGCGCCTCCCGCCACTCCAGCTCACTGGAGCTTTTTCAAAATGAATGAAAATGCAAATATAGTGTGTAGGAGAACAAAAAAAAAGGATTATTTATGTTTTACAATGCTGTAAAATTTTGTATAATTGATCAATTTCAACTGTAATTTTAAACATTCCTATCAACAAAGATTTGTGTTATACCCTGTGAAACACGTTTCAGCGTGACCCGGTGCCAGGTAGGTGGCTGTAGTAAACAAACCGGTGGGTGCACTGTAATGAAATTATATCGGCTTATTTTTGTTTACATAGCCTACTTACCTTATCATAAGCAGAGATGGGAAGTAACGAAGTACAAATACTTCGTTACTGTACTCAAGTAGATTTTTCTGATATTTTTACTTTACTTTACTACTTATTTTTATGGCGACTTTTTACTTCTACTCCTTACATTTTTACACAAATATCTGTACTTTCTACTCCTTACATTTTAAAAATTGGCTCGTTATCTTAGTTTTTAATCATTTCAATGGAGTTACCGTTATTGTTTTTCACGTCATCTACATTGAATCTGCGGATTCATCTTGTAGTGGTGCGTGAAAAACGCACCACTACAAGATGAATCCGCAGATTCGGCGGTATTCATTCGCGGCAAATCATTGCAGCTTGGTGGCGGTAGAGGTAGCGTTAGCCTTAGCATAAGCGTTAGCATAGAAGTATGGACGACGAGAGGATGGAAAGTGAAAACAACGGAGATCCCAGAGATTCGGCAGAAAAGCAGCAAGACATTCCCGATCACCCTTGGCCTTATCTGAAAGAGATGTTTGACATAGTAGGCATCAAGAATGACTCCTGGCGAATGTGCTGCAAATTGTGCCAACCAAAACACCATGAACTGCTGGCTTTCAAGAATTCACCATCGAATTTGAAAAAGCATATAGAGGTAAATGCATATTTTTGTTGTTATCAAAAGCTATTTGTTGTTTGTTGTCTTTATTAAGTGTACGTTAATGGTCAGTTATATTTGTCCTCCTGCTAGCTTACAATTACCATGACTTGATTCTCTAGCATTTTGCTAGCAAGTAACTCAAGTGACGTTGGGTTAGCAAGCTTTCACTTTATTTGAAATTCTAATACTAGCTGGCTGATACAATATCTGTATGTCGACCTGCTCAAAATGGACGCTAACATTTTTTACACAACTATGAATGCTGAGACAAGAACGTTGAGACATAAAGAAGAAGCCCCGGTTAAACACAATAAAACAAGCCTCATCACTTTTACAAACCACCCTGTTTGTTTGTGGCTAGCTGTAGCAAGAGGCGAGGAAAAGAAGGAAAGCTTACTTGTTTTTCGATTATGGCTGTTATTCTCCTGTCGTTTAGCTGTCTTTTTTTGGAGACCACTTAAGTTAACGTTACTCGGTCTTGTCTTAAATGGACTTTATTTTTGGCTGATGTTTTTTGACGTTAATGTCTCAAACATCCCAGACATTAAATTACTCATGTTTTTAATTCAAGACTTTACTTTCTATGGGGCCAAAATTGTTGCTTTATTATTTACAAATGTGTGTGGAGAGTTGTATATCTGTATCTGGATTTGTGCGTGTGCAGGGGGATTTGAAAATGTGTAAATGAAACTGTAAATGTGTGAGGAGATTTGTGTGTCTGTACAACAATCTGCAAATGTGCAAAACTACTTGTGTGTGTGTAATCTGGTTTGCAAATGTGTAAAAAATCCACAAATCTGTATTAAGATCTACAAATATGTACTAAGATTTGTAAATGTGTAAAAAATCCACAAATCTGTATTACAGATTTTACAGATACAAATCCTTTTACACATTTGTGCATCTCACACGGCAGAAGTGTAGCAAAAATCACGAGTGTAAAGAGAGCCAACCGAGAAACTGCTGGACTTGTAACCAATGATGTGTCTGTATTACTGGGTGTTGAAGCGAAAATACTTCGGACACAGTGTCTCTGTGTGTGCTTACAGATTGTTCTACACATTTGCAAATCTTAGTACAGATTTGTAAATCTGAATACAGATTTGTAAATCTCAGTACATATTTGTAGATCTGAATACAGATTTGTGGATTTTTTACACATTTACAAATCTCAGTACATATTTGTAGATCTTAATACAGATTTGTGGATTTTTTACACATTTGCAAACCAGATTACACACACACAAGTAGTTTTGCACCTTTGCAGATTGTTGTACAGACACACAAATCTCCTCACACATTTACAGTTTCATTTACACATTTTCAAATCCCCCTGCACACGCACAAATCGAGATACAGATATACAACTCTCCACACACATTTATAAATAATAAAGCAACAATTTTGGCCCCATACGTTTCTTTCAAACTGTGTGTGAGCTGGTTAAGGGATGTGGTAAACACAAGTTAAGACAGTTAAGAAATGTTACATTTGTATTCTATGACCTCTGCTTGCACTCCCCAGATCAGTCAGCCAGTCACTAGAATCAAGGATGACATCAGTCCAAAGTTAGACTTTACTAGTCATAAATAATTTGCAGGTTCACACAAAAGAAAAAAGTAGTAATAGCTGTCATACAGTTGCTATACCAGTGCTTTACCCATTCAGAGGTAGAGGCTACATTTACAGTGTATTGACATGTTAAGAAATAATTATGGGCTATGTATACTGTGATATTTTGTTAGTTTTAATCATGCCAAGATATTGGTTTTAAGCCATGGTGCCTAATGTTTCAAATTTCATAGTAAGTTACATCAGCCAGTCTTGGCTATATCACTGAACAATTTGTTTTGTGTGTTTGTATTTTCACTCACAGAGAATGCATGTCAATCATATGGAGAGATACAGAAAGCTCACTTCAGCTGTTCAGAAAAGAAAGTCAACCACGAATGCAGGCCCATCACCCAAACAACCAAAGTTATGGGAAGCCAAGAGAGTGTCACAGGTCAGTGTGGAAAAAGGAATAATTGACTTCGTCATTCAAGGGCTACACCCACTAAGTGTAGTTGAGCAGCAGGGATTCAGAGACCTTCTGCTTCTCCTCCAGCCCAATCTAACAATTATGTCTCGTGGCACTCTTAAAAACAAAGTGGAGAAAGCAACACAAGAAATGAAAAATAATCTGAAATTGGCTTTGAAGAAAGTTGAGGTTATTGCAACCACCGCAGATTGCTGGACCACACACCGACGGGGTTTTATAGGTGTCACTGCGCATTGGATAGATAGTGCAACTCTGCAGAGGCGCTGTGCTGCCCTAGCCTGCAAGCATCTAAAAGGGTCGCATACATGTGGAGTACAACATCCGAGACAAGATTGTTTGCACAACAACTGACAATGGTTCAAATTTCATAAAGGCCTTTAGAGTCTATGGTGAGCTGGATGAAAATAACAATCCAGATACTGCACTTCAGGGTGCAAGGGAAAGTATGGGAGGAGAGAGTGATGAAGAAGAGGGGGGAGATATCACAGGTGTCGAGTTTGTTGAAGCCGGGACAATATTGGATGAAGATAATGGCTTGGAATAACAGCTGCCAAAGCACCAACGTTGTGCATGCCACCTTCTCAACCTGATCTCCACTGCTGATGCCTTGAAAGCAAATGAAAATCCAGTGTACAAGCGTCTGTCTCGTTCAGCATTCTCCAAATGTTCAAGTCTGTGGAGCAAAAGCTCAAGATCTACCACAGCTGCTGAAATCATAGAAGATAACTGCAAACTTCAGCTCCTGAGGCCAAATGAGACACGGTGGAACTCCCTTTTCTTTGCCGTGGAGAGGATTGTGAGAATCCTAAAGGAACAAGGAGGAGCAATCACAGCTGTCTGCAGCGCGCTAAAGATACCTATGTATGTACTTGCCAATTTTATTTATAGATTTATTGACTGCAATATGAGGTAGCTTCATATTTAGTTAATGTCTTGCAGTTAAGGATGGGTTTAAAATTTCCTAATGAATACTTTGATTCCCACTATGAATAAAATTCTATATTAATAATTAATTGTTTTTGTTTTTATTGTCAGGCTCACTCCTGTTGAGCTTGCTTTTTTGGCAGAGTATACCAAGACTATGAGCCCAATTGCAAAGGCGCTTGATGTTCTCCAGGGAGAGGCCAATGTACAGATGGGATGGTTGGTACCTACAATAACACTACTCCAGGAGAAGCTCCAGCACCTCTGCATTTCCTCCAAGTCCTGTCGGCCTTTGATTGAAGCACTTCTAGCAGGCCTTAAAAAACGTTTTGGACAGATGCTTACAGATCCAGAGCTAATTGCCGCTGCCATTCTTGTCCCCAAATTCAAGACCTGCTGGACAAGTGATGAATGTATCCTAAAACTGGGTATGTCTTGCAATGCTTACTTTACACTTAGAATAGTTCAAAGTCCAGCATTTGAAGTATCCCTAACTTAGTGCAAACAAAATGACAATATTTATGTAATCATTATATTTTTTGTTCAAAATAATGTTATAAACCGTCTTAGAGTGTTGACATCCAATTTGATTTTGTGTTTCATAGGCCTTGACTACATCAAAAGTCACCTGAAGGAACAAGTTGTGGTGAATGAAGGTGATACATCCCATTCCTCGTAGGAGGAGGACTTTTTTTCAGCACTCAAGCACTCTAGTTCCCAAGAAAATACCAAACAGCTGGAAATGTACCTGGGGTGCCCAGGTGATACAATGGATGTACTGAAGTCTTTCCCAGCAGTATGCCACCTGTCATTGAGGCTTAACACGGCATTACCTGCCTCTGCTGCCTGCGAGAGACTGTTCAGCACTGCAGGCCTGATTTTTACACCAAAAAGGGCCCGTGTTGATGCCATGAACTTTGAGAACCAGCTTCTTTTGAAGCTAAACAGAGATTTCTGGTAGTTTGGGATTCTTTCTCTGTATCATGCAAACACACATTTACACTGATACCCACACACACACACTAACACAGATGCTAAAAAAAGATTCTGTTTGTTATGTTGCCTTAGAAGTTTTTCCACATGTTTTGGGACTTGGATGTTCACCCAACATCAAGCACGCACAGACCTTGAGCTATACTGTACATTTGATCACTTGCGTTCTCTCGCTCAGATTTTTCTTTAACTTTGAGCTCCTGCTCTCAATGAAAAGCCTTTTTTGTTCCAGACTTTTCACCAATGTAATATAGTTTTTGTTTAGTTTGATTAAGGTGGTTGGCCAGCTTCTTTGGCTATTGTCTATTTTTCATATTAATAAAAAAAAAGTAATACAATACACATTGAATTTGTAATTTCTACAACTTTTATAGCACTTAAATTGTAAAAATGGACATTACCCTTTATTAGCACTCTATGTTCAAAGCTTTACTAGCTGTCAGTTCATTTCGTATACGCTGCTGCCATCTGTTAGTTGCAACTCTAAAAGTATGGGGAACTTCGTTAATAACTGTTAAGTAAGTCATATATTATCCTATTTTTTCTTGTTTTGTTGCCATGTTTGAGCATGCACACATACATGCAGATTCCAAATGTTAATGACAAGATTAAAAAAGAGAAACTGGGTCTGTGAATTCTCACAAAATCACAATTGAATTTATATCTTGCTAATGAGTCAGAATCTTATTAAGCTGGAGTCCCAGTCTCTGTCAGTCATATATATATATATATATATATATATATATATATATATATATATATATATATATATATATATATATATATATATATATATATATATATATATATATACATCCATTTAAAATGTAGGCAACGGCATGAAAAAAGTGGTTTCTACTTTTACTTTTATACTTTAAGTAAATTTATAAGCCTGTACTTTGTTACTTTTACTTGAGTAAAGAAGTTTAATCAGTACTTCCACTTTTACCTCAGTATTTTTTAACACAAGTATCTGTACTTTTACTCAAGTACAGAAAGTAAGTACTTTTGCCATCTCTGATCATAAGCCTGCAACTATTGCAGGCTTCATTTTATTACACTGTTTTCCCGATAAGGTGAAAAAAAGGATTGTATTGTGACTGTGGAAGAGGACTGCATTTCATTTCCACGTGGAGGTTTGAAATTATAGAAGTCTTATTATGCTAATTTATTTTTTATACCTTTATTGTATTTCTATATTTCCAACAACGAAAGAAAAGGTAATACATTAATACTGTAATTGAAGTGAAATATGAAGCACCAACTATTGTTCAGCAGAGTATTCATATGGTGTCATTTTCTCCAGGATGCACTGCAGGGAAAATAAACATTTTATCATGAATGCTTATTACGTATTTAAGCCTACTTTGTCATTTTGATAGTGGGCTAATTTACACTGGGAGCCCTTAGGAGGCTTATGTAAAACTTTAAAATTGTTGTGGCTCCTGACAGATCTGTTTTTTGTTTGTTTTGGTCCCATATGGCTCTTTGAACATTTTGGGTTGCCGAACCCTGGCCTAACCCTATCCTCTAAACCCAAATTTATTATTTATATAAATTATTTATTATTTTGATCTATTTATCAGTATTTGCGTGCCTGAGCCACCTCAACTGGCTCCTCTGGATGTGGAGGAGCAGCAGCTCTACTCTGAGTCCTCCCCGGATGACTGAGCTCCTCACACTACCTCTAGGGGAGAGGCCAGACACACTACAGAGAAAACCCATTTCAGCCGCTTCTATCCGGGATCTCGTTCTTTCGGTCAGGATCCAAAGCTTATGACCATAGATGAGGGTAGGAATTAAGATCGACCGGTAAATCGAAAGCTTTGCTTTTTGGCTCAGCTCTCTCTTCACCACAACAGACCGGTACAGGACCCGCTTAACAGCAAATGCTGCACCAATCCGCCTATCATCTCCGCTCCATCTTCCCCTCATTCGTAAACAAGACCCCAAGATGCTTAACCCTGTAATGCCAAATGTATCATATTTGATACATACGGTTTCTGAAATGTTTTGCGTCTGACACCTTTTGCATAATTTAATGATAAAAACTTTGCTCAAAATCCTATTGTACACAATCAGATATACCTGATAACAGAGGGCAGAAGACTACACAAAAATAATCTTGACTTATCGCATAGTAATAAATTATTAATATCAAAAATTTATTTCTGTTTTTTCTTTTTAAATATTTTGTTAAAAGGCTAAATAAGGACTTCAAACCAAAAAAAAAGTAATTTTCTGTTTTGTTTTATTTTTGGATCAGGCTTTAAAGGGTTAAAGTCCTCTACTAGGGGCAGTACGTCCTCCCCAACCCAGAGAAGGCACTCTACCCTTTTCCGGCTCAAGACCATGGTCTCGGATTTGGAGGCACTGATCCTCATCCCAGCCGTTTCACACTCGGCTGCGAACTGCTCCAGTGAAAGCTGTAGATCACGTCCCGATGAAGAATTGAACCACATCATCTACCGAATAACAGAGATGCAATCCTAAGGCGACCAAAACAGATCCCCTAAACACCTTGGCAATGCTTAGAAATTCCGTCCATAAAAGTTATGAACAGAATCCATGACAATAGGGAACCTTGGCGGCATTCAACCCTCACCGGAAACGATTGCGACTTACTGCCGGCAATGGGGACAAGGCTCTGACACCGGTCGTACAGAGACCTAACAGCCCTTATTAAAGGGACTGGTACTTCATACTCCCGGAGTACCCGAGGGATATGGTCGAATGCCTTCTCCAGTTCCACAAAACACATGTAGACTGGTTGGGCGAACTCCCATGTACCCTCCAGGATCCTGCTGAGGGTGTAGAGCTGATCCAGTGTTCCACGGCCAGGACAAAAACCACACTGCTCCTTCTGAATCCGAGATTCAACTATCCGATGGACCCTCCTTTCCAGAACCCCATAATAGACCTTACCAGGGAGGCTTAAGAGTGTGATTCCTCTGTAGTTGGAACATACCCTCCTAAATAGAGGGACCACCACCCCAGTCTGCCAATTGAGGGAAACTGCCCCTGATGTCTATGCAAAGTTGCCAAGTCGCGTTAACCAACACAGTCCCACAACATCCAGAGCCTTAAGGTACTCAGGGCAGATCTCATCAGCCCATGGGGCCTTGCCAGCAAAGAGCTTTTTAACCTTCTCAGTGACTTCAGCACCAGAGATGGGAGAACCTGACCCAGAGCCCCAAGGTTCTGCTTCCTCAATGGAAGACGTGTTGGTGTGATTAAGGAGGTCTTCGAAGTACTCCACCGACCGACATACGACGTCGCGAGTCGAGGTCAGCAGCACACCACCCCCACTATAAATAGTGTTGGTACTGCACTGCATCCCCCTCCTGAGATGCCGGATTTTGGACCAGAGTTGCTTAGAAGCAGTACGGAAGTCTTTCTCCATGGCCTCTCCGAACTCTTCCCACGCCAGAGTTTTTGCCTCAGCGACCAGCTGAGCCACCTGCCGCTTTGACTGCTGGTACATATCAGCTGCTTCTGGAGTTCCACAGGTCAATAAAGCCAGATAGGACTCCTTCTTCAGCTTGACAGCTTCCCTCACTGCTGGTGTCCACCATCGTGTTTGAGGGTTACCGCCATGACATCCACTTACAACCTTGCAGCAACAGCTGCGACAAGCCACCTCAACAACAGAGGCACAGAACATGGTCCACTCAGACTGAATGTCCCCCACCTCCTTCAGAATGTGTTCAAAGATCTGCCGGAGCTGGGAGTTAAAGCTCCTTCTCACGGGGGACTCTGCCAGACATTCCCAGCAAACCCTCACAACGCATTTGGGCCTACCAACAAAGTCGATCATTGAACTACAGCCTAGGGTGTCCTGGTTCCGAAAGCACATAATGACACCCTTATGCTCAAACATGGTGTTTGATTTGGACAATCCATGACAAGCACAGAAGTCCAACAACAGAACACCACTCAAGTTCAGGTCAGGTGGACCATTCCTTCCAACCATGCCTCCCCAGGTCTCACTGATTGCCTGCCCACATGAACATAGAAGTCCCCCAGAAGAACAATGGAGTCCCCAGCAGTACCCACTGTCCCGTACCCCCCCCCCCCCCCCCCCCCCCAAAAAAAAAAGAAATACTCCAAGACGGGTGAGTAATTGGAGCTGATGTTTGGCTCAGAACCCGTCCCCCCACACATATGCAGAGGGAGCCAACCTTCTCATTCACCGGGGTAAACCCCCTAATGTACAGGCACCAAGATGAGGGGCAACAAGTATGCCCAATCCTGCTCGGCACCTCTCACCAGGGGCAACTCCAGAGTGGAAGAATGTCCATCCCCTATAAAGGAGACTGGTGCCAAAACGATGAGTCAAGCTAAAAAGCAATAAAAACATAGATTAGCTAACCTTTTGAAATGCACTACAGGATATTTACATATAGTTTCATTTCACATACATGAGATAGTTAGGCTCTGAAAAACAATTTTTTTTTTTTTTTTTTATTAAGAATGTATTGAATGTTTGGTTGATTGATTGGTTTACCAGATTTATTATTTCACGATCATTTGGTTTTGTGTTTAAAAACAAAAAATTCCATTTCAGATAGTTTAGCTTCCCCTCTGCAGGGATTTATGTGTCAAAAAAGACAGCAGCTTAAAGAAAAGGTTATACTGGTTTATACTTTATGGCAACAGCCGAATCAACAGTCAATCATCCAATGA